AGTGAGACTCCAACTCAAAAAAAAAAAAAAAAAAAATTAAGTTTTTATAAGATTTCCTGGATGTGACCCCAAAATCACAGGCAATAAAGACAACAATAAATGAAAGTAAATCATACTAAAAACCCATTCAAAGCAAAGAAAATAATCAACAAAGTAAAGAGCTAATCTGTAGATTGGGAGAAAATATTTGCTAACCATACATCTGGTAAGAGGTAATATCCAAAATATATAAGGAACTCAGCTCAATGATAAGAAAACAAATGACCCATATGACCTCGGTTCTATCTGTAATGCAAAAAAAGTCAGACTCACAGAAACAGTAAAATGGTGGTTACTGGAGGCCACAGGTGGGAGACGTGGAGGGAAGCTGGTAGGAGGACACAACATTTCATTTAGACAGGAGGAAGAAGTGCCAGAGACCTACACTACCTCATACTGAGGACAGTTTAGAATAATGTATATTTGAAAGCTGCTAAGAGTGCAGACTGTAAGTGTTCTTACCACAGAAAGAATGATAATGATAAGTGAAGTCATGCATATTTAAGTAGCTTCATTTAGTCATCTACCATGTATACATACATGAAAATATCATGCTGTACACCATAAATATTCATAATTTTTACTGCCAATTAACAAATAAATAAAATAAAAATAAAACTAAGTTTTTATAGAACTCAAAATGAAAAACAATTTTAATATATCTGTTATCAGAATATTGATTTTTAAAATTTAGACTTAAAACATTTTCATACTATAATTTCAACCAAGAAGACAAGAACACTCTTAAGTCTTCTGATGACTATATTTGAATATGCAGTTTAGATAATCATCATTAGTATGTCAGCCCTAAAATCCAAGTTACTGTACAAGGAGAAAATATTGCACAGAAGTCTTAAGAAGATAGGTACTTCTATTCAGTCCAGCCAGCTGGGTAAAAAGAAAATAAAAATAGGTACGTCTAAAAAGTAATAGTTTTTAAACATTTACCCCTTTATCTCAGGATAACCTTCAATTAAATAGAGAAATATTGCAAAAAATGCAGGAACGTGTCAGTGTAAGTTAATGGATATATAATTTCCAATATACTAATAAAAAGGTTGGTATATTTTTAATGTGCATTGTTTTCTATTTCTTGTATATGTTTGTGTGAAGTTTTAATAAATTTTATGGAATGGCATAAATACTACAATAGGTACAGATGTTTTTGCAGCAAAAACTCTGCAGATAAGATTAAACATTTATTAATTATATAGTTATATATTTAAATATAAGTTTGCAAAGAGGGGAAAATACATTTTTTTCCAGTTTAATAACAAAGAGTATTATGTGAATCACCACGGGTCCCTCGGGGCCTGTCTGAAAGTTACCTCGCCTGATCTTTTTGGGCAGACTTCCCTTGGCCATCTCCATAAGGTGGCCTGCCTGGTTTACTATACCTCATCAAGCATTTATGACCTTCACAGCCATAGGAATCCCTTGCACTTGGTGACACGCTTACACATCTGTCCAGTTAACTGAGGCTCCCAGGTTCCTGGAACCTGCTACGCTGAACCTAACTTGGATTTCACGTTCACATGCCCATCACTGGTAGAATACTAGGCTACCATCGGGTGCCTAGCATGGACTCAGGCTTTTAAACAGCACAATGTGGAAGTTCAAAGTAAATAATACTGTATTACCATATTAAATATATGTATTGGAAGTATATGATTCATGTGAACATTTTTGTTTTTTGTTTTTCTTTGTTGTTGTTCTTTTTTTTTTTTTTTTTTGAGTTGGAGTCTCACTCTGTCACCCAGACTGGAGTGCAGTGGCACACTCCTGGCCTGTAGCTTCAACCTGCTGGGCTCCAGCGATATTTCCGCCTCAGCCTTCCAAGTAGTTGGAACTACAGGCGCGTGCTACCACGCCCGGCTAATTTTTGATTTTTTATTATTGAGATGAGGTCTCACCAAGTTGCCCAGGAGGGTCTTGAACCTGCGGGCTCAGGCAATCCACTCACCTCAGCCTCCCAAGGTGCGGGATTACAGGCTGAGCCACCAAGCCCGGCTCATGTGAACATTTTTGAAGTTTAAATTTCCTTTCAAAATAGGGTAGTGTGTGGCCATGGGAAAGTTAGAAGAAATATATATTAAATACCATTCCAAGCTGGGCCAGGTTGTTTATAAAATGAGAAGCACCTGAGCCAACAGTAAAATAAATTACAGAGCATGTATTACAGTGGATGCTTATATGTAATATACACTTTACATTATATATGTTAATTTTTTATCATTCTCTTTTAAGCACAGGTCTCTACATAGATCTATGAATTGTATTTGTCAATGACCTTGCATACAGTTATAACCCTTCATATTTCATTTCATCATTCATATTTTACTGATTCCTGAGGTTATTTAGTTGTTTACCCTCTAAGAGAACTTCTAAATGGTCCTCAAATGTTAACATATCACTGAGCTTATGTGAGATGTACTTAAATGGAAATAGAATACATGATAGGTATCAAGAACTAAACTCACTGCCTTCCTTGCCTCCAAGCCTGTAACTTCTCTATTTTCCTGTCCAGACCCTACCTTCTACTCATGTAGTGTTTTTCTAGAAGCTCTCAGAGAGCACCTGCCGTGAGCATGTCACTGTGCCATGCCATTCCTTCTCATCTGCACAGGCTGCTTGCTCCTTATCCCAGCCTCTCCCCACCATCCTCTCCTGCGTGAGCAGCCACTCTCCCCATGCCCCTTGCAGGCCTTGCCTGCTCCCTGCAGACAGCACTGCTTCATTTGTTAGGATCCTCATGTGTTCGGCCGGCACTTTGGTTCTCGAAAATAACCCAACTGACTTACTACAGCTCATTCATCCCTCAAATACTTGTTGAGACATTTATTTAGGACCTAAAAGCTAAGGTAAAGGCCACCTCCTTTGCTTTTGAAGTCGGGGGGGGCACTGAGATACAAACAAAAAATTATGATGATATGCAGTAGTAGAGTAAAATTTAATACAAATAGGTTTATTATCTTCTTTCTCCCCCATGAGAAGAAAGACAACATGTTATTGTATCTAATACAGCGCTTTGCACACAGTTGTTAGTCAACAGACAAACAGAAGAAAGAGAAACCAAACATAACTTACCGAGTGTCCGGAAGGGCCTCTGACTTGGTTGATGGGAGAAGAAACCAGGCTTCAGTGCATTTGTGATCACAATGTCAAAAAGGTTTGTGAAATCATTCCTAAAAGGCAGCAAAGTTTTTCATAAATTTATTATGATGCACTGGCAAGGGCCCATATAAAGTCTTTGCCCAGCCGGGCTCGGTGGCTCAGCCTGTAATCCCGCGCTTTGGAAGGCTGAGGTGAGTGGATTGCCTGAGCCC